CATGACTCGTACTTAACATAATTTGAAATATTTACGACACTATAGGTAGTGTCGTAGGAAGTGTGGTGAGTGGCTCATATAAGCCACCTCCTGGCAAGTGTGGGTGCTCATCGAGACACCATAAGCGTGACGGTCAAAGAGACACCTCACACGTGGATGCTCAAAAAGACAACTAAACATGCCGCATGCAAAGCACATAAGGTAAACATATCAAACAAGCATAAAGCAAATATGAAAATAAGTGTGCACCGACTGAATGAAGTCATTTGGGGCAGCCAATTGAATTAAAGTAAACGGTCGATCAGGCTGATGCAGCTGATGAAACCAAAGTGAATAGTAAATTTGATTGGGGCGGCCGATCTAATCAAAGTGAATTAGCAATTGGACTAGGGCGATCGTTGAACAAAAGTGAATTGGTGATCTAATCGGGGTGGCCGATCGAACCAAAGGGATTTGGCCACAAATGTAAACTGGTAACCTTGGGGTTTCCCTGAGACAAAATTTGTTAATCAATTGGCGTATGACTGTGTCGATTAGTGTCGGTGGGCTAACTTACTCAGGGCAAGTGACCAAACCCACAGTAAAACCACAAAAATAACCAATCAAAAGGCAGATGACCTAACTGACTGGTATTGTTGGGTTAATCGGACTATCCGATGACGGGTAATCGATTGATCCAGGCGATACCACGAGGTCTGTTAGGCTCACTTTGTGCGAGCGACCAAACCTACATCACCAAGCAAAATCTAATTCTATGGTTGAATAAGAAAGAAAAAACAAAGGTTGATGAGGTTACACTATTGCAGTGATTGATAAAAGTGCATTCATTTCTCAGGAAGAAGCTCTTTTTGTCATAAAGAGATTCTGAAGACGCTCTAAGTATTTTCCTATACTCCCCTCGAGTGATAAAGCTCTCATCACAAGGAGTTTTCCAGCACCAACACAACACTACGCTTCGCTCTTAGTCTATGTTTCTCGAACCAAGTTAGTGTCGAGAAACAAAATGTGTGAGGAAGATGAAGGAAGGATAATGGAGAAGAGGAGGAGGAAGAAGAAGCAGAAAAGAGAAGCCAACTCTCCAAAACTTTCCAAGAACTCCCATGATCGCTTCTGAAGTTCTCAGCTTCTTGGACCAAGATGATGAACGATAAAGAAAATGCAAGAAGAGAAAGAAGAAAGAAACAAAGAAGATGAAGAAAACTAAGGATGAAGAAGCTCTCCAAGAACTCTCTAAAACTCTCACTCAGCTTTCCGTGATTGTTCGTGGCTCTCCCCAAGTGAAATGAGCATGATATCTCCCCAGATCTCCACAAGTATTTCTCTACTGTTTTTAAAGTGATTAATATTTTCATTATAAAATGCTAAAAAAAAGCTTTCTGGGTCATGTTTTGTTGGAAATAGTTGAATGGGTGCTAGAAAGAATTTTAATGTAATTATTTTCTGAGTTAGGATTTGTTTCAAAATTTTCCGGCACAAGGTACGCATAAAAAATATAATCAGCTACATGCTTTCTTTTGTCTTATTATTTTCTGACATAAAACTATTATAAATTTTACTTTTTACACTTATACTTGTCAAATATTTTATATAACATGAGAAATACCACCATTATAACTTTTAAAAAGTGACATCTCTTCACTTAGAGCTGGATTTTTTTATTCCAGTTGTCATGTGTGTATTCCTGCATTACCTAGAGCTAAATTTGTTATTATAACGGCTCATCCTGTTAACCATTTGCTGGGTTCCAATTCCAGCTCCACCATGCTTTCATGGACCTCACCAAAAGCACAGATTCTTATTCCGCTGTTGTTTGCCTAGCCCAACTACTATTAGATGGCTTGTTCTTTCCATTTCTCCCCTTTATAAGTTTCAATTTATTTAGTTTTTGCCTGCTATACATTAGCAATTTTGAGGTATCGAACTCAGCTGCTTAATATTATGTTGGGGCATTTACATACATACCAATCTATAAGAAATCTGGGTTGCAGGTTAGATGAGATTTAGCAAGAGCTGTAGGTTGAGATGGACCAACTATCTCAGGCCAGGAATCAAGCGTGGTAACTTCACAGATCAGAAGGAGAAGCTCATAATTCATCTTCAAGCACTCCTTGGAAACAGGTAATTAGTTAACAATTTTATTAGAATCCCTTTAATCATCTACTCTTATTAATTAGCATATGTCTTTTGATTGATTTATTTTACTTTTAGATTTATATGTCACTTTAATTACAGTGAAATAATTCTTATGAACAGTTTAAATTTTTTTTTAGTAAAGTGGCCTGCTCTTTATTATTTAGATAGCACCCAAAACTCATACTTAATTAGGCCTAATTATAAATTTTTAAAAAAATTATGGCATTCATGTGCATTTATCTTGTTTATATATACTCGCCCTTTCTTTTAACTAATCATATTTTTATATTACCTTATTTACTCTTTTGTGCCATTAATAATAATAAAAATAAAAAACAGGTTACTCTGTCAGCTTGCATTTTAATATAAATATTTTTTACTATTATGCTTATTTTTTTACTATTATGACATTAATTGCATTGAAAACAATTGTTATCATTCAAAGAAATACAATTATTTATTATCAATGAGGCAAAGTTATTTTTGTTGCACTTAATATTACCGAGTATGCAATTTATTTAGTTAGGATTGATTTCCAAAACTGAAAACTTTAAACTCAAAATACCTTTTATTTTAACATGATTGTTGATATTTATTCACATAGTTGGGCAGCAATAGCCTCGTATCTACCAGAAAGAATAGATAATGATATCAAGAACTACTGAAACACTCATCTAATGAAGAAGTTGATGAAACTTCAATTTTCCGGCAAGGATGGGGGCCGCACGATCAACTCATTCATCTCTAACAACCACCATCAATCTATCTCCAAGGGCCAACGGGAGATGAGGCTTCGAACCAACATTCACATGGCCAAATAAGCTCTCTCAGAATCCTTATCTTTGGACGCCATGAATCTTGAATCACCTTCTCCTCCCTCCCTCTATCCGACCACCACCACCACCACCATCTGCACCTATGCTTTTAGCAAAAAAAAACATCTCCAAGTTGCTTAAAAATTGAATGAAGAGCACTCATAACTCAAGAAGCAGGGCTGGCTTGGGCTCTATGACCAATGTGTGCTCCGATTCTCAAGCATTAGTTGATCAGTTTGGTTTCAGGCCAGTGAAGATTGAGTTGAATGGAGTTGTCTTGAAGGACGAGAGTAAAGAGTGACAAAGAGGCTAAAAATTATCTATGTTTTATGTTTATTTTTTGGTATTTCAGGGATGGTTGATCCCTTTTGTATAGTATTTTGATTTGATAGCGGATGTTGCATACCTGAGAATTTGAACATAGATCAACTCCAAAATTTAAGGAAAAACGCCGGTTTCAATTATCTTTAACCTGCAAACACTTCTAGTTCTTAATTTGATGTGTTTTTATGTCATACTGCACCCCTTCATTTGTTTTTTGGAAGATTTACATACATACGACGAAATTCCTATGTATTTACATATCTAACACATAAACTTCAATTTTTACATGTACACAACCTTACTTATCCATAAAAAGGTAAATTCCACGTTTTAGAAGAAAAAAATAATGGTTTATATGGAAGTAGTAGTTGCGGGTTTATAAGACGTTCATATTTAATAGTGAAGTATTATATCTTCTAAACTAATAAACTTTGTGATGGTTACACGTGTTGATATTTTCCTAATTTGAAACTTGTATGTCATACTTAATATCGATTGTATGTAAAACACTTATACACTTTAACATCGATTATATGTAAAATATTTGTTATCTGATGGTTGAAACAAAACAAAATATATATTCCAAAAATACAATAAGTGCAATTTTTTAGATGGAAATTCACTAATAATTAATGATTAATTCATTAATTTTCAATTAATCATAATAAAACAAATTTATATATTGTTATTTAATGATCAATTAATTAAATTATAAATATATTTTTATGTTCTTAATTATTTGATAAAAATAGAAACATTCTCAATAATTAAAACAACTTAATTATTTATTAATATAAATTTATTGTTTAAGAAATAATTTGTTTAGCATAAAAAATTATTTTATATTCTGTTTTAATGAAGATGAGCAAAACGTTCATTTTTTGTAGAAACAACTGCTTCACAATTGTTCACACACAACTGCAATAAACAAACAATCAACTTTCCGGCAGCAGCTTCCTGGGGCAGCGCAGCTGCACCTGCCCCAAACAAACATTTAAGCTACGTAACAAGACTTGAAATGCCCTCCCCAAGCAAAAACAACATTCCGAGCGCATCAACACTGTCCGTTCTGCCATCCGAAGGGCCTACTTTGTTCGCACTAGGTTGAACAAAATTTTATGCATTTACATATATAATATCTACAGATAGATATTTACATTTGTAACAAATTTGCCTCACAAATCTATGCATTAAAAGATGAATTTCAATTACAATGAAGGGTTGTTATTAAAGATTTGAGTTGTATATGTATATGCATGTATGTGTGATTATGGGCGAATATAAATGCCCGGGGCCAACACTTTTTTGGCTTTGTTTCCGTTTGACTGCTCGCCAGGGAAAATATTTGTGCACGTCCAATTGCACGCAACGTTACATACGTCAGATGTTATTCAGAGGGTACATAGACATTATATTCATTTATACCTCCTATAAACTCCTTATAACTTACCCGTACTTACGGAACTATAAAAACACAAAAAAATATTTGTAGATTAGAGGTAAGTTATGGATAGGTTACAAGAAAGTTATAAGAAGGTATAACGCGAATATAACCCCGTCTACGCTCAGCAACCTCTTGAGTTACACAGCGCGCACAATTACTTTTCCTCCAAAAGAGGTTCGTATAGGGCCCTAGCTATCGGATACTAATTATTACCTCCAAAAAATATTACCTCAGCATCAATACTCGAATAATGAGATAAAATGTGGTGTCTAACTATCGGAGTACTGACGAGCCCTAGCTTATTTGACGGCCCAGCGCCGTCGGACACCCCTTTCCAGCGAATCATTCTACAGGCCACGCAGTTCAGAAGATAACTAGCGCTTCATGCGTGTCCTTGCAATAATTTTTCGGCTTCCACAGAGTTTCAGAAGAAAGTAGGTTTACGGTGGTCGCGCAGTCTCAAGGAAAAAATGGCCGTTGTGTCGGATACGAAAACCCCTAACTTACGATGTCTGAAGGCGGCCTTTCTTGCCATGGAGCCATCCAACTGCTTAATTTCATTAGCCAGGTACCTTTATTTCATTTTCCTTCGTCAATACCAGGCAGTTTCTTGTGTTCCGGTTAGTTCAGTGCATGAGATATTTCAATCTAACTTGGCATCTTCGAGAGTACGAGGTCACAACCAAGGCTAGGCTCACAGATAAAAACAAACAGAAATTGCCCGTCTTAGACGGAGTTATGTAAAGTTTGCTTTCCATATTGTTTTTTGAAGTTCCTTAAACAAATAAATCATGGATTTGGCCACGTCGCTAGAAACGGTCTTTGGAAGACTGACTGTACAGCTTAAGTGTTTTAAGCATTGGAGAAATTGAAGGAATCATTAATTGTGCCCCAAGGAATAAAATTTTTGATTTTCAAAATAAGTTTCAAAAGAAAAAGTAAATAGAATTATGCTCCAAATGTGCATGGGTGACCAAGGGACCAAAGAATCTTCCATTGAGATGTGTGAGGGACGGTGAAGCAGGCTCTAATCATATGAAACACAAACATGGCACAACAATGATATAATGACACATTTTAATTGTATAAAGTTTTGAACTAGTATCTTCAACACGATTTAGGTTCTTAAAAAATATTGTAAATTCAAGTGAGCTTCATAGCATCAGAAAGGCGTGGCATCCTTTTTGTCTTTGTTTCCATCACATGATGTGAAAGAAATTAATCGGGTTAGCGCCGTCATGCTCTTTTATTTTTGGTTTTTTTTTTATTTCTGGATTGATCCAACCGTGTCCATAGTGTCATTGTTTTGTCCCTTTTGTGTCTAATTCTAATTTTATAGTAAAAAATTAGGACACAATTTGTGCCTTGTTGGACATGTTTCAGGGCGTGTTAAAGCTGTGTTCATTTCAGACATGCATTTGTCTTGAATATTAGTGCCATTCTAAAGTATCCAGACACACACACTTTATTATAAGCACAATAGCTTTCCCTTATATTTTTAGTTGTGTATTAGTCCCACATTTAATACATGCAAAGGGCAGGCCCTCTCCCCACTTCTTGAAATACAAAAAGAAGCTGAAGAGATGTGGAAGTGAGAGGAGTATTGGTGTAGAAGACAACCCACTGAAATGATACTTATTGACTTTGGTATCTCTAATTTTTTAATGCAAGTTATCTCATATGTAGGGCTCACTCAAAACATTGTTGACTAGCTTTTTAGGTCGCACAAATGCCTTATTCTCTGGGCAGGAGACTTGACCCACTTAGATGCTTAGCTTAGGGGTGTAAATGAGTCAATTCAACTCATGAGCCACCCTGAGTTTGGCCTATCAAATGACACATCAACCGAGCTTAATTGGCCATGCTTGAGTTTGCGCCAACTTGACTTGTTAGCTTGTGAGTCGGCTCGTTTAACAAATGTTAATATAAAGTGCATTTAATAATATTAGAATGTACTAATTTTAGTGTAAAGTAATAAAAATATTTAAATATTAAAACTTTCTTATTTCTCATTTCTTTAAGGTTTTGAACTAGCACCAGATTGATTCTTACAACATTAGAAAGAATAAAAAACATTTTAGAATGTCATTTATCCTTAACATATGGACACCAAACTTAAAATAAGCTACATGTTTAGTAGTATTTGACTTCCCTTTATAAGATTCCAAGGACGAAATCTTAAATTTTAGGGTGCTTTACCTTCCACAATTTCTCTTGAAAATGCATTCTCCAATGGTTTTGCTCCTTCTTGTAGCTCTTTCATATGAGGATTCAAAAGGTTCTCGCTCTGGGATTAAGATTTGTTCCTTTTTTTTATTATTCTTCTAGCCTCGTACCAAGAGCCCATCTAAGTCCTGCCCTTGGTAGGTTCTGCCCAAGTAACTCCTACCTTGGTATTTCTTTGTTCGACACTTCTCGTCTACGAACCAACCCCACCTTGATGATCCCACACGCTTCTTAGGATGAGCTCTAGAATGGGAACTAGAGGCTTCTTGTCTTTAATCTTGTATAGCTTTCAGGTCTTTTTCCATCAACTCATTGATTTGATGTGTCAGAAACTCTAGTGTAATCCATCAATTTTTTTTGTTATTCCCTATGCCAAAAGGACCTTTTGTAGAGTTTGGGTATGAACTTCACGCTCATCACATTTTTTACGATATTATATTCTTTTAGAATGCAGGTTTCCATATTGTTTTTGAGTTCATACAACTCGTCAAAGACTTTATTTTTATGAGCAATTTATACGAGAATATAATGAATGTATTTTCAGTACTCACATTTCACACTCTATATTTTCTTAGGATTCTCGGGTTAGCGAAAATGACTCAAAGAAAAGGATCCCTGCTTTATGATCACAGAGAGAGAGAGAGAGAAAGGAAGGAGAGAGCGAATCTAATTTTTAGAGAGAGAGAGAACGAGAGAGAGATTTCATCTAACCTCCCTTTTATAAATGAGAGAAAAAAGTAAAATTACATCTCATATGATACTATGCCCATCCACAATGTCTCACTGAGAAGATTGCAATGTGCGTGCGAGGTGGCACAAAAAATTAGGACATACTCATATAATGTAATGTAATGATGGTTTTCTCTCGTGGCGGTGTTGCCCTGGACTAGTTCAACCACTTCGACAGGCGGACTTAGCTCGACCATTTAGAATGGTGGACTCAACTCAACAACTTCAACAGATGGGCTTAGCTCGATCACTTCAACATTTGGAGTTAACTTGACTATTTCAACATGTGAGCTTAGCTAGATTGGCTGATATGGGCTTTTAAGGTAGATTCTGGTATCCTACCCACGTGCAAACCTTCCCTAAATACATATGGCTGTGTTTTTGCTATGCAATTTGCATTTGACAAAATTTTAGTGGCTTAATAAAAAGCCAATACATATGTTTATATATTTCACTGGTATTGCCCTCACATTCTTCAGTTTCTTTTATGTGATTGCCCATTTCTTCAATAGTGCCCTGCTCATTAAATATATTATTTTCTTAGTAGTGCTATCTGATTCAATATGTTCTAATACGTGGCACTTGAAATATTTTATGGCTGGGATGAATTTAGGAACATTTGCTTGCTCCATTTCTTCAACAACACCCTGCTCAGTGAAATAGATCATTCCTCTAGTTGTGCAATCAAATTCAGTATGCCTAAATTCGTGGCAATTGAAATATTTTCTGGTTGGGACAAATTTAGTGGCTTAATAAAAAACCAATATATATATATCACTAGTATTACCCTCACATTCTTCAGTTTTTTTTTATGTGATTGCCCATTTCTTCAATAGTGCCCTGCTCATTGAAATATATTATTTTCTTAGTAGTGCTATCTGATTCAATATGTTCAAATGTGCGGCACTTGAAATATTTTATGGCTGGGACGAATTTAGGAACATTTGCTTCCTCCATTTCTTCAACAACACCCTACTCAGTGAAATAGATTATTCCTCTAGTTGTGCAATCAAATTCGGTATGCCTAAATTCGTGGCAATTGAAATAATTTCTGGTTGGGATAAATTTAGGAATATTAGCTTGTTATTTACTCTGAATTAGTTTATCCCAGGTGGATCGACTTGGATGCTCTTGTCGGTGTACTTTGACAACATGATCCTTGGGTTGAACTTTATTTGTAAGACGTGACAGTCATTCGACAATGTTGTCTCTCCACTTTTGAAGATCTCTGTAAGGAACCGATAAGTACTGGCGCTGCATCTCTTTTTTCATCTTAAATCAGATAGTGTTATTCTCTTTTTCTTCATGTTGTGTAAGCGTTTCAAAATTTTTTACTAAAATAATGCATTCGTCTTTAACTTGCTGACAACTAATTTTATCATTATGTTTGGTGGGATTTCTTGGCACTCGAAGAAAAGTTCCACGGTTTGAAATTACTCGATGAACTCGTCTAGATCTAAGTGGCCATCTTAATGTGGTAAATCACTTTTACTTCAAAATTCTGACTTCTCAAATATTTCAGGTCAAGTCTTCAGGGTAGAGGTTCTTCATCTCTGGCATCTGTATTATAAAAAAGTTTCATTCAATTATTTTGATCTGGCAAGTCATTGTTGTAACTAAGGGTGGCGTGTTCTGATTGCTTGCTTTTGGAGGAAAACAAGCCTGTGTTGCAGTTGGAAGGTTTTCCATTGCATGTCCTTCCTAAAAATCTCTCGGACATCTCTTTGTAGATTTTTGATAAACGACATCGTGTCCTTACCCTTCAACCAAGCTTTCAACTATTATCGCATTTGGTGACATGATTAGGGTTTTGGTCTGGGTTTGTGGAAGAGAGTGTATGGGGTGATGTGGGTGGTAAAGTAAAATTTTGGGCTGGGTATAGGTGGATGTTAGGATAGGCCTAAAGTTAGGTTAGCTCTGATACCGAAGTTAACTTAAACCACAATTGAAAAATCAAATATTATTACTTAAAGCAAATAAACAATTGCAACCAACACACTTGAAAGATAAAATACACAACAAGACACCTGTAAATTTGAAATAATAACGGACACGACATAAACACTCTTACTAGGGTGGATCTCATGGTGATGGTGATGGTCGGCGATGGTTTGGAGAGGCATTAATAAGAGTGTAGGTGGACTGTACATTTAACGGACATCGACAAGGGTGGGCAGCGGGAACAACCTTAGTAGCCTAGAGGAAGTGCTAGAACAACAACTAGGTTGTAGGGATGAGGTTTGATGGCTGGAACAACAATGGACAGTAGGTACTGAGGGAGAGGATGGTTGGATTGGGGTTGGATGACGGGGACATTGGCAAAAGAGCGGTCTGCTTTATGATCACAGAA